GCAACTTAGACACATGAAACCTGCCTGGTATGTTACAAGCCTGCAGGCTTAGCGAATAAGATCCTCTCTGGCGGGATCCTGCAGCCGCTTGGGCTGACAGCGGCTCATTCAAGTGAGAGAGACGCCCAGGAATGATGAGTTTGCTTTAGGGAGATGGATAGTAATGAAGAAAAAGTACCTTGAAAGGATGCCATTCCGAGAAGGGCACAGGCCAGTGCCGATTAGCAGAGCCCCTTTTTCTGTGCTTCCAGAGAGCTGAGCACCGAGCTTAGCCTGGCTGGCATCCTTCCTGCATCCACTGGGGGAGGCGGCTGGTCTGGCAGGTTTTTCAGAAAGTGCAGCTGGCACTGAAGAAACTTAGGCTGAACTGGGTCTCATTTTAGTGATCCTACTTGACAGGATTGTAAAAACTCTTGCTGTGAGTTTATGCCTTCCTTGGTGGCCTTCGCTGTTCCTAGCACAATGCTGGGAACTAAACCGTGGTCAGTAACTATATGCTGACTTGATATACCAGTCAGAAAATCAGGGTAGAGACTAACCGCTTTCAAAAGAAGAGCGAGACTCACCAATTTTCATTTGGATTCATTTGGATATTTCATTATTAGTAAAATAAAAGAACAAAATTCTTTGAATATGTTTCACTTTTATAATTTTCCATTTAAAACCACACACATGTATTCACTTACTATTTGACTGTCTCTTGTTCCAGGTACTAAGGCCAGGTCCTGGGTAGATAGCGGTGAACACACACACATGGTCCTGTCCTCTAGATCTTGCTAAACAAAAATCAATTAATCCCATAATTGTGATCATAGTAGATGCACTGAAGAGAAAGTGTAGGGGTTGTAAGACATAAAACAAGTAACTTCACCCGTCCTAAAAGGGTTGGGGAAAGCTTCCTGGAGTACATTTTTTTTTTTTTAATTTCAGATTAATAGGAGGGTACAAATGATTAGGTTACATTGTTTGTGTTTGTTAAATAGAGTCCAAGTTGTGGTTGAGCCCTTCACCCAGGAGGTGGGCCAGACACCCCTACATTATGCCTGTTAGATGGGGGCTTACCAATCCCCCTATGCCCCCCTTGAGTTTGTGTTTTCTTCTCGTGTGGGGGTGTTTTTGTTCATCTACTGGTTTTGTACTAGTATTGAGCACATTAGAGACTTGCTTTTCTGTTCTTGTGATACTTTACTAAGGAGAATGTTCTTCAACTCCCTCCAAGTAAATACAAAAGATAAAAAGTCTCCATCTTTTTATGGCTGAATAGTATTCCATGGTGTACGTATACCACAGTTTATTAATCTATTCATGAGTCGATGGGCACTTACGTTGATTCTACATCCTGGCTGTTGTGAATTGAGCTGCAATAAACATTCTAGTGCAAATGTTCTTATATTAAAATGATTTTTTTTCTTCTGGCTAGATACCTAGTAGTAGGTTTTCTGAATCAGACAGAAGGTCTACTTTTAGGTCTTTGCAGATTCTCCATACCTCTTTCCAGAGAGGCTGTATTAGTTTGCAATCCCACCAGCAGTGTACAAGTATTCCCTTTGGACGAGAGGAAATTTATCCTAAGACTTGAAGGTGGAGTGGGGCTTCCCTGGGCCCGAGGAGGGTGATAGAGTACCAGGAGAGTGAAAATGATGGCCTCGGAGTGTTCCTCAGGGTGCCCCACACCAGTCCTTGTCATGCCCCATCATCAGGCCAGTGCCAGCTGCTGGCTGGGACCTCCTCACTGGCTGTTCCCGATGAGCCTGTGCACTGTTCTGTTGTCTGCACATCTTGCTGAGACATAAATCTCCTACAGAAGCCTTCACTGTGTTCCTTTGTTTACTTTACTTGCTGAGACCATTCAACATTGGTCTTCTTGGAAAGTCATGTGTTTCTTTTCAGTTCCAGCTGTTACTCTTCTTGCTGGATGTCTCTGGTGCAGGTTGACCACTGGTAACCAGATAGGCACCGTTAGCTCACCTGAGAGCAGAGGTGGCAGGTGCAGTGGTTCTAGCATAATTCACGACTTGGCTCAGACTGAGGCTCAGTTGCTTGGAGTTGGGACTTATGCTCTCTTAGCCTTCCTTGGTGTTCTTGTCTATAAAATGAGTGTAATGGCTTGGAGAGTTAGTGAACTAAGACAGTGGAGGGGGAGCATTAGCACTAGGCCTGGCCTGGTGAATGGTGGTCATACTTAGCTAGTGTCATTTTGTTCCTGTCACCCTGCGCTAGGCACAAGGGAGATTTTGTTGGTCAGTTGATTAAAACAGATTTTTATTGTCTATATTCAATAAGTCCTAATCTCCTCTCTAGATTGGTGAGCTTCACTGTACAGTGAAGTGAAGCTATCTGGAATGCTCTATCTGACGTGCCGACTACATTTCCAGTTGATCCTTAAGGAGGCTGTCAGTAGTGGTGTGGGCGACATGAATACAGCACATTTCTAGGTGTTTTCTACCTGCTACACGGGGCAAAAATGAACGTAAAAAAAGTTCGTGCACTGAGTGTGATAGCAGCAACCGCTTCACCACGGATTACGGTTTTTCCTCTGTAGTGCCGCATTCAAGACCATCACTTGATAAAGCCGCCACAAAAAGCCTGAAGGATATACGGGGACAATACCTGCAGTCTAGGAAATGTGAGAGGGAAGGTTAAGAAGACCCCGAGCAGGCTGCAAACGTGGGCTTTAGTTGGACCTCCTTGAACATTGACTTTTAAGTCCTTGGTGGTCTGACCCTTCTCTGCCCAGCTCAGGAGCTCACCTGGGGAGACTGCAGTCATTTAAAGCACTCATTTGAAGGATGGGGTGTAATTGTGCTGATGAGTTAACCAACAGGGCTAACTTGTGTTTCTGGCTAAGAGAAACTTGTGTTTCTGGTTAGGAGGGAATGTTTCCAGGCAGCTTTTTCTGGTCCACATGTTTGTCAAAATCTAGACATTAGTGATGAGGTTGGAAATTTGGTAAGGAAAAAAGTAAACACGGGGTAATGTGCTTGGTTGTAAAGCATGGCCCATCTTGGTACTATTACAAAGAGGAAAGAATGAAAGTGTTGTTCCAGGAAAAAAAAAAATTCATTAAACTTTACTACCTATTTCCATTAAAAAGTTGTCCTCCTATTAAGCCAGATTACTTCATTCCAGCTTCATCCAGGAAGCCAGAAGGTTTTTACTTTGCTTTTGAGTCACCAGCATTCTTGGTTCCTGAAATTATACCTCATTTTTAAAAATACTTTCCTAGCCTTTTTGTAGCTCAGCTCACTTAGTAAAGCATTGCACATTTGCCAAAATAACCCAAACATCCTCCACATAGAAAGCTTTACCTTATTCTTCATTGTGCTAAGGAAAGAGTAAAAGGTGGGGGGTTTGGTTTCTATTATTTTCAAGTAAGGGATATAGACGGATATTTCATTAGTACCTTGTTTTTAATCTTGCACTTTGGCAAACCTTTCACAGTGATAAAAGCAATTTTCCTTTTCCTTGGGAAAAGCCAAGCGAGTGTTGTTTTTGGTTATATAGCAACATTCTTTCAGACTGTTAACAGTGAGTTAAAGACAAGAAAACCTAAGAGCTGTGTGTGTTTGCCTGAAGATATTTATTTATAAGAATTATGTGATAATGGCCTCGAGCATGGTTTCTTCCTTTTTCAGTTTTCTGAAACTTTACTTTAAAAAACACTTGGAGTTAAATATTTCACATTCATATGAAAACCAGCTAGAAAAGATACTCCTGACTATACAGTTGCTAGAATTCCAGTTCTTTTGAAGTTTCACATTGTCTGTTTCTACCGTAGACATTTCTAAGGCCACATTCACTGGTTTTCTTCCTCCTTCCCCTCCCTCCTCCTTAATCTGTCTTCATTAATGGCTTAATGACTCACCTTATTGCCCAGAACCGCAGCATCTTCCTGGACTTCCCATCTCATGGATTTCTTGAATCTATTAACTTTATCTCCACATCGCTACTTCAACCTGTGTCCTCTCTTTCTGAGCTCCCACTGCAGGGTTGTACCACCTCTCACCCAGATTAGCCTCTAACTGGCCTGCTCCCCGTCTGTCTCTCCCTCCTTGTAATCCCTCCTGCCTCCTCCCCGATTTTCTCTGTCTCAGTGAGTGATTTACTGGCTTGAGCAGCCCTGCTGCTCTGTCTGCAGATGAAGCCTGAGCTCCCCAATGGACAGTGAAACCTTTGTGGTCTGGCCCAGACCTGCTGTGCAGTGCCCTTTCCTACCCATTTTCCTCCTGGAGCCCACACCACAGCTCAGGAGCCAGCCCCAGGCTCCAGGAGTCATGCCTGTGCTCCTTCACGTCATCCTCACCACCGATGACCCAGCTCCCAGCCTGTACCCATGTGCTGTACCTCCCTGTGGGTTTGCTGTGTGCCTCTTGAACTGTTTTTACCCACCACGCTTCTGTGGGGTTTTATTCTCATGCCAGTCAATTCTCCACCTCTCCAGACACCAATGGGGTGTCCTATAGTGGAATTCAATTCCGACTCTAATAACCCAGAGTTAGTGTCAAGCTGCACAGGTTTGAGGCCTCGGTCCCAAAGGTGGCCCTCACTTTAAATGCCATTTGCAAGAATTGCATCTACAGGTTACCCATATCTACTTGCATTTCTCTCCTACTTGTGTACAAAGTTGAGGGTTCCTGCAAAACTCTGATTTGCTAGAATAGCTCACACAACTCAGGAAGGCATTTGACTTACTACTTCTGGTTTATTCTAAAGGATACAACTCAGGAACGGCCAAATGTAAGAGACGTTGTGGGGGGTGGCTGACACTGCAGAGCTCCCACACCATCTCCGGGCCACTATGCACTCACACCTCCAGGGATTTCCCCCTCATCCGTTAGAGGTTTTCATGGAGGTTTCATTTTGTAGGCACAAGACTGATTCAATTATTGGTTCATGGTGATTGAATTCCGCCTCCTGCCAAGTATTACATGAGGATCACCTGTTTTCTGTGAAGATCTATGGAAGAACTGTAAATGCTTTATTTTCTTTCTTTTTTTCAGATTCTTTATAGAGCTGGAAGCGAGACATCAGAATAATATCTTTATAGATGACATAAGTGACATTGTGGAAAAACATACAGCATCCACATTTGACCCATATGTGAAATACTGCACCAACGAGGTGTACCAGCAACGGACGCTCCAAAAATTGCTGTAAGTAAACTTGAATGCTACAGGTTTGGTGGTCTAACCTAGTTTTAATTAGGACACCTTAACTGAAATTAGTTGACCTTTTAAGCCATATTTATAAATGTCTCCTGACGAGCTATTTTCTAGGGGAGAAAAGTTTATGAGGCTTGCTTTTAGGGTGTTTGAGTAGAAAAATCTAGTGTGTAGAGAATTTTCCCTTTAGTGAATTAATAGTTTGTGATTGTTGTCCTGTTTTTTTCTTTTTTCTTTTTTAATTGCTGCAAGACAGGGAGTGATCATTCCTCCCACCCCTCCAGTTTTCTAAGCCATTAACTGGCAATTAGGTGGTTTGCCTGTGGCCAGTTAGGGATGAGAAGAGGGATGGTCTGAAGAAAAATAATAGAGAAAAAAGTTCTTGAAGGTTTAAATTATGCAACAAAAAGAGTCAAGCAATGAAGACTTTCTCTCCCTGCCTTTTCTTTGTGTCCTTTTTTAAGTAGAGGTGATGCGTTTGTCATCTGTCCTTAAAAGACTCAGCGATTTTTCAGTACTATCTGTTTGTTTTTAGGGCCCCTGTTGTTCAGTTTGTTTTATAACACAGTTGAGCATTGCTGTCAACCCAGTTTCAGGGGCTCACTGGCAGTTATCGTGCTCACCGCCTCCCGTGAGTGTGGCACGGATGACCGTAGCATGGGTCTTCGGTCAGCTTCTATGCAATGTGTGAGACCCCTATGGAGGAGTAGGGGGTAGGTAGTGATAACCTCACAGTTGCTCGGAGAAATAGTCAAAGCCCCCAAGTTGGTGAGAAGGGCTGATTATGCCCCCTGTCTCCTCCATATCCTCATGAAGTTCTCATACGGACAGAGTGGAAAACCCACAGCTGCCAACCTCAAATGAGGTTTTTAGTACAAAGCAGGGTTTGTTCACACTATTGACATTGGAGCTGGATGAATCTTTGTGGCAAGCTGTCCTGCGCCCGGCAGGATGTTTGACAGCAGCCCTGGCCTCTGTCTGCTGGATGCCAAAAATGTCTGCAGACATTGCAGAAGGTCCCCTGGGGGCAAAATCACACCCTTCGCTTCCCTGGACGCCCCCTACCCCCACTCTGCTGGGAACCCTGATAAAGGGAGGTTGCTATATAACTGTTAAAGAATGCAGGCTCCTGTTTGAAAACACAGCCTGGGGTTAGAGCTAACTTTGGTTTTCACTTTGGTCTTCGGCATTTAAAACTGTGAATAGGTACTGCTATGTATTAGGTGACTCTTAAAAACAAAAGTTTTCTCTAAATTAGCTTAATGATACCATCCTGTCAGCTTTCACATGGAAATTAGTTAATTGTGTCTTCAGAGGCTTTGCTGAAGTTGATGTGCATTTGAGGTTAAGGCAGTGACATTCAATTTCAGCTGCCTGTTAGAAACGCCTGGGAATCTTTAAAAAGGAGCAGATAGACAGTCCAGAGTGCGCCCCAGACTATTTAATCAGAACTGTTCGGAGGTAGGGGAGGGGACCTGGGACCTGAGTGATTTAGAGATACAACCAGTTTAGAGTTTGATTTTTTTCTTTCCTTTTCTTTCTTTCTTTTTTTATTTTTTTTGATTCCTGAAAGTCTTTTCGAAGCTATCAGAGAAAGGGAAGTTAAAACTTCTTGGTTCGAGAAAATAAAAATAAAACATTTCTGTGTAATTTCTTTTAATTTGCTATTCTGAGTATGGAGGTAGTTCCCCGTGAGATAAAGTATTTTGGAGTATCCTGCTAGTTTCATTAAAAACTATGGGGCAGTGTTAAGGCTTTTCCTATGTCAGTAGGTGAGGAAGGGAAGTATTCTGGCTGATGTGGTCAAAAGGTTTTATGTCTTAGAAGATCTTTGAAAAAGGCCAAACACTGCCCAATAACAAATCCAGTCTACCTGATAATTTCTAAGATTATTGTTTATGGCCAGAGGAATGGTTTAAAACTATTACTTGCTATCTTATTAATGGGATGTGTTTTTAGGTGATGAGATACAAGATCTGTGTATTAATTTGCAAACGATATCTTCACTGTTGTGATACAATAGCCTCTTCATTTGCTGACTTTCCACTTTTATAAATTTCTAAGATTATACATTTTTATCTTATTAGTATGTTTATGCAAGACTTATATGCAACCTTGAACATAAAGGGCAGTAAGGCATTCATATTTATTTATTACATATTATGTAATTATGCGTTTGCTTTTCGTATATTTAAGCATCACTAATACATGATTTTTTTCACAGTATTTGATAATACATTCTTACGTGCTTCTTACCTAGAGGAGGATATATTTTGAAGTTTCCTTTTTCTTTGTTTTTTTCTCAGAGCCACCAACCCATCCTTTAAGGAAGTATTGTCAAGGATTGAGTCCCATGAAGACTGCAGGAATCTACCCATGATCTCTTTTCTCATTCTCCCTATGCAGAGGGTGACCCGGCTGCCCTTGCTGATGGATGTAAGGCTTGCTTTCTACTCGGGGCATATCTGTGCTGCTATCAATCTGATCTAGAAAATTATTCTTATTCCATTTAAATTAATGCATATACCTTTTCCCTATTATGTGAGAAGGAAAGTTTCATCTATGTCTGATATCACTAGATTATTTTTCATTCAGGATTATATGGTCCTGCTGAAGAAATCAGATTATGTCACCTACTTATTCAATGTTTTTTTGAAATAGGAAGAATAGGGACTCCTTAATGTCAAGGAGTCTGGATTCCGTTTCTGGCTGAATCACTGAGCATATGACCTTGGGCAATGCACTTAATCTGTTTGGGCCTGAGTTTCCTCAGGTTAATCACTAGAATCCTTCATCTGCAATATTCCTAGGTGCTCTGGCACTTCCCTTTCACCCAGGAATGGGACTCTTTTCAGCATGACAAGGCATGACCCTGCCTGTATTATGCATTGTGCAAAGTGGGTGAGAAAAGCCCAGTGTCCTTCTGTATTAGGCAACACTCAGAAGAAAACAAAGGTTTGGCTTTGGATCTTGGCCAGCCGTGGCTGGGGAAGTGAGTAGAGACTGCCTGGTATGAAGTGCAGCTAGGAGGCCAGGGAGGCCAGGGGCGGGAGCACCTGCTGCTGGCTGTGCTGGAACCACAGGGCCAGCAACCAGGGGAACCGGGAGTGGCCTGACCCAGGTCCCAGCCTGCTGGGGGGCCACCACCCCTGTTTTTGATCCAATTGGAATATTTTGTCCTAATCCTACCTTAAAATTGGGTATGACGTCAATATGATATCAGTTTTTACATTCTTGATTTTACAAATCAAAATGCAGGATAAAAATAGAGCGAAAATTACAATTGCATAAGGGTTACAAAGTCAGTATCCCACTGTAAATTCTGAGAGGTATTCCAATAGAACACCGAAATTTCAAGGTGTGTAAAAGTGTGTGGTTGTGGCTGCAGTTTGAGAGAAGCGTTTCAGAATCCACAGCATCTTGCTACTCTCCACGTCCACCACAGTGCACTGTCTTCTGCCCTCCCCACCCGTCACCTGTAATGTAGAAATGTTGGGACACTTGCAGTTCTGAAATTGTAGCAGTCTCTCTTTTTCTAAGATTAGTATCATAGCTAAGAATGGAATGAAGCTAAGTTATCAAAGCCATTTTTGATTTGAAAAGAAAACTTCAGGGCGGCGCCTGTGGCTCAAAGGAGTAAGGCACTGGCCCCATATGCCAGAAGTGGCGGGTTCAAACCCAACCCCAGCCAAAAACTGCAAAGAAATAAATTAATAGAAATATATTTCAGACATTACTGCTTTTTAAAATGGGAAGTGGATCCTTTCTAAATATCACATTTCTCATCATGTTAGGGTTTGAATTTTCAAGGTTCTTTTCCTTCTTCTGAAAGTAATTTTAGCTGTGTTTCCTTAGATTCTGTATATGTGGTGATCTCCCAGCCTCTCTCTGTTAAATTCTGAGAAAATTGCTTGCGTAGACTGGGACTCCAAAATCTAATACACCACGTGGTACAATGCTGGAAATTCAAGCTGTGATTGCTCAGTAACGCTCTAAAGTCTAAACTTGTGGGGGTCACAGAGCTCTTTAAGATTCTGAGTAAAGCTGTAGTCCTTCCTCTTGAAAATTCTCATGCACGAAATACTAGGGATTTCTTCTCTCAGGGATATAAACTAGTATTTTTCATATTGCTTTCATAGTCACTCGTGGGTCTTGAACTTGATTTTTGAATGTTGAATAGTGCTTTTTAAAATGAAATAAAGTAATGCAATCAGTGTCACCTAATTCTTTGTACCTTCGATGAACCTGAAACAATAAAAATAAATTTTAAAAAATGAAATAAAACAGAACATATGTACGTGGCTTAAATAATGTGGTTAGATATTGCTTCATAAAACATTTTGCTTCATTTATGTGTGCTTGTGGACTAGTTACAGAATAAATGTATTTCTTACAGTGGGTCATGGTCAAAAAATATAAAAATATAAAAAGCATAGCGTCTACAGATGGTGGACGTTATGCTTTCCACGTAGAGTAACACTTCAGGCCTCAGACTTCTGGCTCTGTAGACCTGGCTCTCATCTACATTTATGGTACCAGTGGCTTGCCAGTTCTCTGCCTAATGCCTACTCACCTAATCCATTTCTCATATGTAAGAATCTGACCACCTAGGCAGACGCTGAATGTACTTAAAATGTTGTCTCTTCAGTTTTACTTCATTTGGAAATTTAGTTAAACTTGTTAAATTAAAATGAATACTTTTGTGAGGGGGACCTGGTCTCATTCTGTCATCTAGGCCAGAGTGCAGTGTCATGGTCTTAGGTCACAGCAGCTTCGACCTCCTGGGCTCAAGCAGTCCTTCCACCTAGGCCTCCCAGAGGGGCAAGGATTACAAGTGTGAGCCACCCCATCCAGACTGAAATGAACACCTTGAACGGCTAAATGGTCCCCTAAGCTTTGAATGTATATAGTTTCAAAAGTTATATGTAATTCAATTAATTTTGAATTGACCCTCTTTGAACTTGATTTTACCATCACAAATGAAACGTCTCAGTATAACTATATCAAGAGAAAACCTAGCAGGCTTTTTTACCCTTGCTCTTTTAATTCTTATTATATCATCTGCAGACCCAGTCCTCTCCAATCATAATGATAATGATGGTGATAATTAGCTCTTACTTATGGAGGGCCTACTGTATGCCAAACACTCATAAAGTGCTTTATATAAATTATCATTTAACCCTTGCAACAACCTCTTGATGTAGCTGGCATTGCCCCAACAGACAGGGAACAGATAGGGAACTCGAGGCTTATGAAAATGGGGTTGGTGATTGGTCCAAGGTCATGTAACTCGTAGGGGAAAAACCTGGTATCTGAAACCAGCTTACCTGCCTCTGAGTTCTGTCTTCTTACGTAACCGTGCCCTGGATTTCCTGGATTCCTTGGATCCTGTGTGTTTAAAGATTATTTCTTAATTTTTAATTGGATTGTAATATCGTCCTCATACCCATCCATAATATTGTGTTCAGCATCATTAAATTGTCTAGAGTAAGAGAGTATGGTTGGCCATTGGTTTTATTTTACTTAATAAAAAATAATCCATTTAATTTATTACAGACTATTTGCCAGAAAACGCCTAAGGACTCGCCAAAGTATGAAGTCTGCAAAAGGGCCTTAAAGGAAGTGAGCAAGGTAAGTAACTGTGGTGGCTGCACACCCTGCGAACATGCAGACGCCCCACAAGACAGCGCGTGGGGGTTCCATGCTGTAAACCAGAAGATAGATTCTCACAGCCACTCGCAAAGCATTCTCTCTCTCTTTTTTTTTTTTTTTTTTTTTTTTTGTCCGGTTGCAGCCATCATTGTTGTTTGGTGGGCCCAGTCTGGATTCGAACCCGCCACCTTAGATATATGTGACTGGCGCCTTAGCCACTTGAGCCACAGGCACTGAGCCATATTTAGAGTTCTTTTATTAGCTTTCATTATTTTTAAAAGGTAAAATTTTAAGACTGTCATACACTTTATGAGGACTTTTCAGAGAATTCAAATAATTTAATAAGATTTGATATTCAGGGATAATGGTTCCCCAAGACCATTGTGTGGTACATGAGAATTTCCTGAAGATCCTAGGGACGGTGGTTTGGGACAGACGTGGGGATTAGTTGGTTTGGAAGTTGGCTGCTTTGGGGATTGCCCAGCTCTCATGTAGAGGAAACAGGGACTGACAGTGGACATTCACACCTCCTCTGTATGGTGACCCTGCTGGAGGGAGATCTGGGATGTATGTAGTCAGGTGCCCAAGTCCCAGATCACTCTTCAGCAGAAATAGACCAGATTGCATTGTTTGTTCTTGGTGTTCACTTTTTTTTTTCTTTCTATTTTTAGTAGAGATGAGATCTTGCTCTTGCTCAGGTAATCTACCTGCCTTGGCCTCTCAGACTGCTAGGATTACAGGCATGCACCCCCACGCCCAGCCTTCCTAGTTTCACTTTTAAGCTAGTCAAATGTGTTGGGGTCTGGGTTCTAAGTGCAACTAAAGGAAAATACTTACATCTCATAAAAATTATTTGAATAAGGCCAGGTGAGGTGCCTCAACCTGTAATCCCAGAACTCTGGGAGGCTGAGGAGGCCAGATTGCCTGAGCTCACGACCAAACTGAGCTAGAGTGAGACCCTGTCTCTAAAACTAGCTGGGCATTGTGGCGGGCGCCTATAGTACCAGCTACTTGGGAGGCTGAGGCAA